CACATCAAGAGGCAAATTCAGGTCACTTAAAAAAAATCTTTTTTTGCATGAGGGGAACGAACTAATGAGAGGAACTTGAACTTCTATTATCTCAAAACAATTAACTATGAATTCTCACGTCTGAGCTGCAAATTATCCCACAGTTTCACAATCCCTTTTTAGTTTCTAAGAGAACTACTTTGCATGTTTCATCTTCGCCTGTTAAAGTAATCATCTGGTGAAAAATGTCGTCAATACTTTAATTTTTAGAAGAGGGAATAAATATGTTCATGACAAAATTCACAACTTGCTGATTAACAATTTATATCCCTGTGTGACAGAGATTCTGAGAAACACTTTTTTGTATTATGAAGTCCATTTTTGCTCACTAAGTACAACACAAAACTGTGTCATGAGTATACACAAGCCTTATCTCACCTACCCAGCCTGCATAGCATAGCTGTATAAACATGTGACTGGGATCAATACTGACTACACGAACAACCCCTTGTTTGTTTATTGTACGCGTTCAATACAAGCGGCTGGGGATGTTGTTTTTATCTCATTTGTTCGGTCTTTGCTGGATCCTGAGATTTTCTGATTTATCTTGCAGCGATGTTGTCTTTCTGAGAACACAACCCAGAAGTTACCAGGACATATCTGACTGAATGCAGAGGGAGGCTGTGTATCTGCTGCATTACGGGAGATCAGAGTTACGAGAAAGCTCATACTTCACCAAGTGAGTAGTATCTCCTCGGGATCTGGGAGTCTGGGTAGACGTTCTCTAGATACCAGGAAAACGGTTTGCACCGCAAGGCCTCACGGAGGGCTTTACGGGATGAAACGTCTCCGTAGTCCACCCGCATCACGCCTGTAGAAAAAAAGGATTCAGCCATATGTATCACTGAACATCATCAAGTCAGTATTTACCTTAGTATTTGCATTTTTTTGTTCTGAAAATAGAAGGAAAGAGCTGTTTTCTTGCACCACAAAGACTAAACACCAGAGGGACCCTTTATAAAAAATATTTTTTAAAAACACCTTACAATCTTCCTGAAAAATGGACTACTGTCTGTGGGTGGTCGTGGAAGGATTTTCTATTTAGTAATGCATAAATGACCTAATTTCTTCAAAGAGGGCATGTGAATCAAATCCCATTTATACACAGTGTATTGCTAAATGCAACGCATCTCCTTCAGAAATGTACAAACGCAACAACTGTGGAATAGCGTGTGCCATGACGTATGTTATTTTAGCCAAACAGAAACCGCATGATCTATCAGCCTGGTTGCAACTTAAGACTGAGGACGGATTAGACAGCGACTGGGCACAGACACTTACACACACATTAGACAGATGGTTTCTTCCCAGAGTGCTTCTTGAGGACTGCATGAGCATGTAGACAGATCCACTGTGGTCATTTATCACGAAAGAGCTGACGATTGCAATAAGCGAAAATAGAATATAATTTTCTATAATACCAACTAACATATAAGACCCGCAGCACTGTATATTTATCCATCAAGCATTAGCCAGACAATGCAATATTTCTGTAATACCATCAACGTCTTATACTTTAATCTGTGAAATAGGCATTTCAGGTTGGCAGATAAAAGCTATGAGCTGAAGGCCACCCTGGCTCTCTTCTCTCTCCCTCTCTCTGTAGTTTCTGAGCATTGCAGAAGTGAGGTCTGGCAACAGTGTGGCCCAGATCATTCCCTCTAATGTCCTGGAGGAACAGACAGTCATTGTGTGGCCAAAATATGCACAAAGACTCATCCATCACAACCCCCCAGCTCTGTCTGAACACCTGCCCATGCTGAATCTTGCCTGACAGAGTAGAAGGTCACAATTTGTGCCATAAGATCAGCAGATTACAGATGATCCCTTATAGGTTGGCTGGCATCTAAAACACTTAACCAGAGATTTCCGGGACCCTGCCGTCTGCTGAAGGGTAATCACATTACTACTTCGACAGATGGAGGGGTACTCATCTCTCAATCTGCACAATCCTGTTCTAGTTTGTCCATGTTTGTTTGAGCTGTGCTGGAGAGAACACCATCTTAGACAAATTTCTGACCTTGAGTTCAGAGGAGCGCTAAAAGAAATGTGTCTGAAAGTAGGAATTAATTAATCCCAGTTTGGAGATGACAAAGGTAGCATTAAATTCCAATATGGGACAGAGTGTAAAGAGAAATATGAACTCCCAAAATGAGCAAGATAAAGTGCCATGCAAGGGAATGAAATAATAAGAGAGCAGACAAGTCTTTCCCTTTCACACCAATTTGCTAAATGTAATATCAGCAAGCACGTAAGTAGCACAGAGGGGTCTGGTCATAGGGATTGTTCATATCTGCTTTTGAATAGCAGTGCACAATGAATAAAGCATGAACTCAAGTATTGACTGCACTACATATTCGCTGAAACATTTAACTTTTAACATGCACAATTCATACCATTTTGTCGTCAACATGTGATTCTACTATTCCGGTGGCAGAAAGATGCAGTCAGACAGCTCTGTACCTGGTGATATGATATAGAAGAAATCTTTGAAATCATCCATCCAGACTTCCGCCAGGCGCCTGTTGTTCTTGTTGATGACTTGGCCCGTTCCTCCAGGGAAGCTGTATGGGGTGGCCTTCCGGAAAACATGGCCCACGTGCGAACATGTTACAATTTCCAATGAGCCACCGCACTGCCAGATCTGCAAACAAATGCAGATTTACACAGTATATAATACAGTCAATACAAATGTATTGAACATTGTCTGAATGCCAGTCCCTATATTTGATCGTTCCTCACTCCTTGATCCTCAGATAACCTAGAAATTGATCAAATCGGTCATCAATTCTGCAAGCAAGGAGGATTAAGCAAGGAAAAAAGAGACCATGGTACGACACACTGTTTTACAGGAAATCTGTTTGTGACTGAATGCTGCAACAGATTGGCCTGCTTTGAAGCAGCATCGCCGCAAGTCATATTATTCCCAATATCTACATTTTGTGTGTTTTCGTATTCTACATCTAGTTATGAAAATAGTTGATATGTGTTAACTGTAGATCTGATTAAGATGGACAGCCTAAAACAGTAAAAATAGGTTGTTAAATATTTAAAAACATTAGGAGATGTCGAATACTAAATAAGGAATTTCTTAATTCATAAATATATGTGAATAAATAAGTGAAAAAATGAGTCATGTGCATGTCTGAGCAGTGAAGTTCACTAACAAATAGTTCTCTCACTAATCTGCACACAGTCTAAACTTTTGAAACAGTTGCAAATACAAAACATGTAGAAACTAGTGTGTCACATTTCTTAATCTGTTTTATCTTGTAGGAAAAAATCTAGAAAAAAAAAACAATTGCGCTTATATTGGTTACTGTGCACTTATTTGGACAAAACATTCTATCATACAATTATGGGTCACCAGAAACTGACGTGGCTTCTAATTTCATTAAACATGTATTTCGAAGACTCCTCTTTCCTTGCATCTTTTCCTGGAATCTCTCTCTGGAATCTTTAGTCGAAGGGATTGAATAAAGAGATGCAAGTCAGGGAAATGTGGATATAATAAATGCAGTTGGCGTGTACCCATTAACCAAGGCTGGTGACGTTATAACATCGTGATAGCATCCCTCCCTGGTCTATCACTCACTCTAAAAGACATTTCCAGGTTTTCTCCGCCCCAGATGTCCATCCCTGGATCGTAGCTTCCTAATTCTTCAAAGTTAGTTTTGTCTATAGAGAATAATCCTCCTGCCATGGTGGGAGTTCTGCAACAGACACACAACAAATTAAGACAAAAAAAATAATCAATTTGCAATATATTACGTCTCTTTGTGCTGCTTATTAGCATCTTAGTGTAACTTTGAGGAACATTTGCAATATAATTAGACCAATTTGTTTGAAAATTTGAAACAAAGCCTTTGAGGAGTAATTACTTTTATCTTTTAATTCATTCCATGTTATAGTCGGCCCCTTCATTAAGGATACTATTTGTTGCTGGGAGTGATTTGCATACAGATGACAAACTGCGCTTAGCTTTTGTGTAGCCAAATACAGGACAAATGTGAGCAGAGCTTCTATTTTTCTATTTTTAAATTAAATGAGCTCCCAACTAGCAGGGTGCTATTTAGGCAGTTGCTTGCATCAGGGAGATACACAGACGAAAAGGATCTATTTCTGTCTGCAGATAAAAATGGCACTTTTCATAAGAGGAGTTCCTGTGAAGAAATCTAACTATCTATGACTTCTCTGTGGCATGCTGCCATCACAGATAAACCCATTCTAATGAGAAACCGAGAACTAACGTCTGACTGAACTTACAAAAACTGTCTCTGTTCATTCTTCTTAATCAAAAAACACAAAACACTACACAAGTTCAAGGTTTGTCACACAATTCCCTGAAAAATTATCTAGATTTATCTTCAGAGGAGAAGGAAACATTGACTTTGTGTACCTGACAGGAAGTGTTCTGTCCCCCTTGCGTCGATCCATCTCCCGCTGGGGAACAGGGTACCAGCGGAAGTTCAGCTTCCAGTTGAAACCGCCATAGGTCATATCTGAGCCTGCCATGTATTCAAACGTCTCGTCGCTGATGACATCAATGATAGGGCACACCACTGCTGTCCTGCAGCACATACAAAACACATTCAATGTCGAGATAAATTACACAGTAAATGTAGGCTTGCTAAAAATTCAAAACATTTAATGCATACAAGCAAGGCGTGGTGATGTAAGTTTTATTCATTTGACCACAAAACCTAAATAAAACAACCTACTCACTCAAAAAGAGAGCAAATCAGGTAATGGTAAGTATTTTAAATGTTTGACCACAGTGCTGACCACACTAATGATTATTTACGTTACTGATTAATCTGATTTATTTTTAAGAATCATAATGAACAGAAACCACTGGAGGGTTTGCAATCAGCTGAATGTTCACTTCTGAGATAAATTTTCTGTTTGACTAATCGGTTAATCATTTAACTAATCAGGTCTCGACAACACCACATTACTTACTATAGTTTATTTGCTCCAGCATCAATAAAAGTAGCAAAATAAACTCTGCATCTGATGGCATTTTCAAGCTGCCATCAGATTATTAGGGAAATATTTTTGAATCTTCGTTTATTGACTTCCAAGTGTATCATAATATAATAACGCCATTCATGCTTCAGTTATAATTAATGAACAACAACATTCTGAACACATCTGCCGGATTCTGATACAGTACATATCAATATTGGACAAAATGTTAATATAACAGATCTAATACTATATACCTTATGTCTGCACCAATACTTAAACATGACATAAAGACGCCAATACATCCGCAGCAGCTTGCAGTAAAGTGTAATGGCTCCATAATATAATATTCTCACTCATATGATACTGATTTCTTCCTGAGGGACAAATGAATGTGTCTGATCTCAGATAAAAGATGGATCGCAATAGAATCATTTAATCCAGCAATCCATCCATCGGCTAATGTCACTCTCTCTCTCCCACACACACACAGCAGATACACACACTGTTTGTTTTTAACAACCAAGAAGTAAAACCTAAAATAATATTTGAATGCTCATAATAAATAACAGAAACCAAATAAACACTGTGTCACTTTAAATGAATACACTTGGCTTAACAACTGTAAAAACACCCTAAGCTGAAGAAAAACATCTCCTGTTCAGCTGGGCCACGTCATATTTGTCCCCAGACATGTATCAGTTGTAGCTAGAATACATGTCCTTGTCCACTTTAATCTCGACTTCATTGACATCTGCTAGCACCAGTCGTAGCAGAGTTAACACAAAAACAGAGCTACAGTAATTGAAGTTAGCTTTCCCTTTGAGGAAGAAGCAGACAATGGAAAATTATTATCTTCTCCTATCAGCAGTGCCAGGCTCAAACAGTGTATTTATAACTGATAGTTTGCTTTCCCATCAATATCAAGAGGGCGCTTTGGCTCAAGCACTCAATGATGCAACTTAAGTGAAATGTGATAATATCAGTATTAATAAAGGCATGTCTCAGGACTGAATAGGCAAATGATTAAAATGATTGACAATGAGAAACTCATTAGTGCCATAACAACTGCTCCTGAAAAGGAGTCAGTAATTCACATCAGCTTCTTAAATTTCATTAAGTGCGGCCTATTTAGCTCCTACCTGTCCTCTTTGATGCGTGCCAGAAGGGGCTCCAGCCAGCCGACAGTACACTCACAGTGAGCGTCCAGGAAGGTAATGACCTGACCTTTTGTGGCGGCCGCACCCCTCAACCTGGCTCTGATTAGACCTGAACGCTGCTCCATCCTCAGGATCCTTACTGGCACCTCCAGAGTCCGCGCATAGTTCTCCAGCTTTGTCTTCAGGAAGTCTGAAACAAACCAGCAGACAGAAAATTAATCGATATGTATTTTTTTAAACAAAAATCTGAGCCTGGTTGAGAGTTTTGTGTCCCATATTGTTAACATTGTTCATCAGCCTACTTGAGTTCAGCATGTCCATCCTGTATCCTTGACTACAGAGTTAAACCTGTGTCTGTTGTATATTACATACTGTACATTTTGTGAAATGCTTATTGGCTAGAGAGTGCAGACCACCAACCTCGCTCGCTGGCATCATCGACTAACACGATCTCCACAAGCAAGTGTCTGGGAGAGCGGTTGATCACGCTGTGAACTGTCCGCAGCAGGGTGCTCCATGCCTCGTTGTGAAACACAATCACAATGCTGGTGTTTGGCAGGTCGTCTGGGTACACCTTGGTTTTACAGCTGATAAAGGAAAAGCAAAAAATTTAATTTAAACTAAATCAGTAAAGTAGAAATGTTCAAAAGGAAAGTCAGGCAAAAAAGATTATTTCATGGTCTATTAGAAAAAGCTTTTAATTATTTCCCTAAAAAATTTAGAAAGATTCAAAAATAAACAGAATTTTGTGAAGGTAACTTTTTATTATTTACTCATCTGTTTTAGACTACACCAATAACAGACTAGAATAACAATTAACTCTAACTCATATTGAAACAATAAATTTATTTGTTGTTGATTAAAAGAGCAACATTTTTGTCTTTTATATTAATCCTTTAATCCAGTAAAATCCCAAAAATTTGCTGCTTAGAGCTTCTCAGATGCTAAATATTTTAACTGAAAATGGATGTTCCAAGTACACACCATTTGATGGTCATTTGTAAGAATTATAAATTTTCTGTAGACTAAATAAGTAATTAATTCTATAAAATGTAAGTCACCAAAAAATAACATCATTAGCAGCAGCTAAACTAAACTTAATTGAGACTAATGTGAAACCTGAACATAATCACTTATAATCATATAATCCTTCTACCTACCAAAAACAAAAACATTGGTGATGTCATGATACACTGGTCTAAAGCTACAGTGTTTTTCCAAGCTCATAGTGCTTCTCTACGCCTGCGGCTCATTATATCATATGAATATTGTCTGAGAAGAGAATTTCAGTGTGTCCTGCTGCTATCCAAAGCTGCCATCAGGGCAAAAACATTGTCATTTGAGATTTACTGACAAATATGTCCAAAGAAAGTAGAAACAGTAAAACCAGTGCTGACAGCTATGTCAGCATGTCCTTGGCTTGATGGGATGTCTGTCAAATCCAAAGAGTGAGAATGTGGCAAACGTGGGACAGCGCTGTAGTGGATGATGTTGAATAAAGAATGAGCTGCGTTACAGGAGCGGAGGAGGTTGACGGCCAGGGCGGGAGGAGGGGAAGTGGGAGGTGACAGAGGGTGAACCAAGCGGAGCAGACAGCATTGCTAGTTCAGTGCAGTCTATTCAAAGTGACAGCACTGTCTGACACAACTAGGCCAGGAGGTTGCCTTAAAGACAAAATGTTAGTGGTCCACGCAGAGGCAACAACTGGCAATTCTGCATTGCTCTGGATAATTTTCACCACATAGCTGGTGACATTTTGCAAGGCTAAGCTGTGCTCTGTAATACAGCTGCTGTAATATTTATATTGAGAAAAGGATGGAGCCATAATGAACAGAAAAACTAGAGTAGTTGCAACCAGCTGAATGTACAATTTATCTCAGTAATGTAGGTCTTCTTTTTCACTACGCAGGCAAAAAGATCCTTATATTTGCATCTCCACGTTGCAAAAAAGTCTTGAGTTGGCATTTTCATGGTATAGGTAAAACTGGGGAACGTAGGTGTGGCCTATTTCTCATGGTGTATCTGACTGGCAGAGCCTTTGGTATCCACTTAATGAAAGTGCTGCTTAGAAGTCGTGTTCAGTTGGAATATTTAAACACGAATGGCTCAGATAATGTCTCCACAAGAGGCAAATGCCGGTGCGTATCAGCAGCCAGAGACAAATGTGCTCATGTTTCACACAAATTGCTCCTTGGATTTTCATTAAGTGCTCAAGTGGATCTTGAGTGACAGTAAACAAAACCTTGCTCCCATTCAAATGTCAAGCCTAATGTACACACTTGAGGGATCTGATGGATTCTGCTTTGAAACAGCGCCCATAATTAGAGATGTCTTTTCACATTACATACAAAGTTATTAAAAACAATTAAAATTTAATGGACTTAACAAACCATTTAAAAATGACTGTAATAATCAGAACAACATTGCCTTGATAGTTGGAGCATTTCGTCTCAGCATTTCACCGTCTGAATCACTGTTGAGACTTTTTGACAAGAGGAAGAATCCCTTCTGCCTGGAGCCACTGAACACATTTGTCTGAATACTGGAACAGTTTCTAGCGAACCCAACATTAAAAGTCTACACACATTAAGGAGTGAAAAACCCAAAGAAATAAAGAAGCAAAAAGCAGAAAGGACCAGCCAAAAGGTCAGCTGTTTGATAAAGAAACCGCGGTGCCTTGCAATGTGCGATAGGTATCAAAGGTACCAAGGTTTGCAGGCAGCGGAGGAGTAGAGTGAAGACTGTGCTATGCTGGTCTGTTGGTGTGTGTGGGGGTGTGTGTGTGTGTGTGTGTGTGTGTGTGTGTGTGTGTGTGTGTGTGTGTGTGTGTGTGTGTGTGTGTGTGTGTGTGTGTGTGTGTGTGTGTGTGTGTGTGTGTAGGTGTTAAAGGGTCAGTTGTGTGATTCACAGCATGCATCTGGAACACATCAAAGCTTACGCACCCATCCAACCTCACATCCGGCAGACTCCTGTTGAGTGCAATCATGTCGCTGGCCATCAGATTGAACTGGTTAATCTTAAAGAGCTCCTTCATCTTCTCCTGGTCATCCTTGGGGATGTTCACCGCCTTGCCCATCTCCCCCGGACCCTCGTGGCTCCGAGATATCACAGCTGTAATATGGCAGAGGCAAAACAAAAAGGAGATCTAATGAGAAATCAAACCTATTATTGTGCATTTCCCTCACTAAGGAGGCGGGAAAAAATAAATGACTTGGTATATACCGTCTAGTCTTGATTAGGAAACAATATGTGAAGGACTACTATGATATAAAAGCCCACTAAATAACAAATGCTTCAGATCTCCTCTCTAAATGGGACTGAGAGTAATGAGTACTGACTGACCTCCCTAACCCCAGTCTGTTGGCTGTGCGCCCTGTTCTAACCAGTGAAAAAAAGACTTGTGGTGGTTTTTCAAGAACTCAAAGAAGTAAGAGGGCACAAGTTCAATACATACAAAAAAATACAGCCGTAGTGAGATGTACCAATTCTGTAGTGGACATCACAAATGGAAAGGTTTATTATCTGTTCCTTAAGGCTGAGAAGACAAGAGTGCAGCAAAGCATGCTAGTTCTATTTCTGTACAATATGAAAAGTGTAATCTTCTATACTAGTAAAAAGCCAGAGCATAAATGTAATTTTCCAGATCAGTGTGCTGGTGTTATTCACTTTAAAAGCAATATATACTGGCAGCGTGTATAATGGAAAACACATTATATTGCTCTTATTAATATTATTATATTAACGCTTAATAATATTGCTCATCCAGAAAATGTGATGGCATTCCCACTTGCACTGTTTAAAAAAATAAAATAAAATGTGAAAAACCGTGAAGGCATTCAATACAGACAGTGCATGCGTCCTGCTTAAGCTCTCTCTCCTGGTTGCTGTGGAGTGGGTATTAAACACTGTGCAGTCTGGCAGCTATATTTAATTTTAATTTAATCTATTAGGAGGTTTTGAATTCAGAGATTTGGGAGAAACGTATTAATAGATGAAAAAGTAGCATGAAAGCAAAACCGTTTCTAGAATTACCACAGTCTTCTTTGCCATTCGCCCTGCAGTCAAATGCCTGCAAAACATCAGCATTGCTGTTGCTGGACAGAGTGAGCCCCCTTCACCAAAGGTAAATAACCTCCCATAGATTTATGACTGCGCTCTCTCTCTCTCTCTCTCTCTCTCTCTCTCTCTCTCTCTCTCACTAGCTCTCTCTCTCTCTCTAATAATCTCTTAGAGCAGAGGCAGTGATTTCCATGAAAAGGGACACACAGTTAATATTAGCCACAAGTTCCCACCAAGGTTAAGAGGATTCCCTACGACCCCTCATGGAGACGAGCTGGTGTCTGCTGGATTGTTGTACCTCAATGGATCCTGCTCTTTTCTTCTTTATGGTGCTGCTGACGCTCTTCATTTGGACAGTGGCTTAAATCTGATGGACACAGCTCCAGTGCTGAGCTGGATTATTGAGCAAAGTGTTCTTCAAACACATGCTCAGCCTCCCCAACCCATCAACCTATACTACACAGGATAGGAATGTTGCGGGAATATCGTACGCAGCCAGAATATCCGGCAAACCATTGACACCAGACAAAATGTAAAATTATATAGTATTTTAATCTGACTTTGAAAATGGGTTACTAAATAATGTGTGGACCAGTACTGTTGGATGTAGAACAGTACTGTTGGATGCACTGTTGGCAGAGAGCCGACTGCTTTGTGAATTTTGTAGTAGATAGTCCTCAGGCCTTGTAATAACAAGGCAAACTGTCATTCCCAATTTACCACTACATTTCGGGCCTCTTTGTTATAACTTGAAAGTTACAAATTAATATTTTTCAAGCATGGATAAAGCCATATGTGATACATGCAACAGTCAAATGTATCTGTGACTTGGTCAAAATATGGTTCACATTTAAGATGAAGCATGAATTTTACAAAAGTGTAAAAGATGTTTTCCATTTGTGCCAAGATACATCTCAGTCAAAACTGCAGAGGCTGCTGGAGCTTTTTTCAAAAAGTCATCTTTCCTTCTTTACCTTGATTAAATCAAACTCTTTTTTTTTTATATGGTGCCTGTGTGCCTCTATGGATTATAATGTTGGTCCTTCACCACAGCTACCCATTTGGTCTACACTGAAACATCTCCCATCATGAGGTTGTCATTTATTGTTTTTAGTTAAATGTCTCAACAACTATTCAGAGATTCATGTTTCTCTGAGGATGAATTCTAATAACTTCGGTGATCTCTTTTTCATTTATTGCCACCATCAGGTCAAAATTTTTATCTGTCCAAAACTATGATGAAATACTCACATCAGCCTTAGCTGTATTTGCTGTTTAAAGGTAATTAGCAAATAGTAGCATGCCAACATACTAAAACTATACTAAGATGATGAACATGGTGAAAATTTCTACCTGATAGAAATCATAATGTAATCAAAGCATATACATATAACATATCTGTTGACTCTTAATGTAAGTTTAATTAAAGCATGTATTGTTTGGGAGTATCAGAGTGTATTTTAGGTGCAAAGATGGATTTGATTTCAAGCCTTTAACTTTATTATTAATATTTATTTCACATTATTTGTGGAGCAAATGTCAGTATATTTATGCTGAATCATGCAGCCAGTTATTTTTCTTATGAAAGCTGTAAATTATAATCTTTCACCCCAGCACTTTCAAAATTAGTCATCTATGAAATAATACAGTCAGATTTAATATATAGACTAGAAACACTCAAATGAACCTGGTTTTACTTTGCAACACACAAATCAGAGGAGCCTTCGAAAACAAACTCTGTCAAAGCCAACACAATCTGTTCCTGACACAGAGCATTCATTATAAAAGATGACCACGTTCATTTGGGAAGAAAACACTGGCTCTGTCTGCCCTCGGGTCAATCAATCTGATTCAATGTCCCTGCCTGCAGCTTTATCCCAAGCAATTACAGTGAAAAGGTTCCACTCACACTCACAGGTAATTAGTCTTTTGAGACACAATCACTCATATTTCAGCGCTGAACAAAAATAAAATGCCACGCGTCTACCTGTCGGTATGTGATATATAAACTCATAATTCTGATTTACAATACAAGTGCAACTCTAGATTCTCTCAACATTTGCCACATGTAATATATGTTATAGCCTTCTCTATATGTTATATACTTCATTACTGAAATGTCTTGTGGGAGCTCAAATGAACTCTTTGATCATTGTTTGCGAGATTCCAGATTCCTCTTATCAAGGTGGACTCTGACACTAGTCTGAATGCAGATTGTCCTCCAGCTCTATAGGGCTCTATAATAAGCTTGATCCACTCTCTTTCCTTTATACTTTACCTCCACCTCTTCCCTCTACTGCTTCGTGCCTGCAAGTCGGACCCAGCTGGCATTACATTATATATCAGAGAAGCTCCCGTTGAACACAAAGTCAATGTAGACCAGAAACAAACATTCAGAACACTACTATGCTGCTCTTATGTGCACCTTCACCCTAACTGCAACATATTTATATTACTACCAAGTGATAGACTAAATATAAGGAGTCTGTCATCTTTAAGTGTAATATCTACAAAGGTATGAGTTCCCGGAAAATGTTAAGCTTCCTCTGTGAGGGGAGGAAAATCCATAAACAATAATTCACAGTGAGAATTATATTTTTGTATTCTGAACAGCTAAAAGTAGCACTGTGCAACACACCCTGTGGTGTCACAACTGAGATCTTCTCACGTCAAAGCAAACCCTTAAATGACAGCCATCTATTCTACAAACAGATATCTGAATGACAGAATGATTATTTTATCGGCATGTGAAATAAGTGAAATTACTGCTATAAAATATGTACTTGATAAAATGTTCTTTTTTTCCCCTCATTCTTTTCTCCTGATTATCAATGATTTTTAATATATATGGTTCAATACCGCTTGAGGAGGAATACTGCAGCTAAAGTCAAACTAAAATCCTGAACTTTAACAAGTTCCGGATTAAACATACTGTATGTATAATATATGTACTGCAATCCTAATCAAGTCAGTTGTATTTATATAGCCCAATATAATAAATCATACATTTGCATTTCAGGAGGTTTACCATCTATATATCACACGACACCCTCTGTCCTTAGACCCTCGTTTTGGATGAGGAAAAACTCCCAAACACAGATGCAGTCATTCCAATCCACAAATGAATGTGCCAACCATCACATTTCATTTTCAAAAAGATCATGTGTGGCACACAGCTTCGCCTTGTGATGCTTAGCCTCTTCGAGTGGTTGATTGTGATTCCATTGTTTTCTTCTGTGTGTGTTGTAGTGATGCAAAGGCCAGGCTTTCAACACACTCTTTCTAATGTTGAACGTGCATCTCCATTAAACCAATCAACTCATCAGCTAATAATCTTGCAACAATTATTTTCAAAAATAGAGAAGCTGATTCTTCAAAAAAATCTAAACCTTAACCTTAGCTGTGAATGCATAGCTTTCAAGAAGTGAGTTTCATAATCAACACTTATCCAATTGCTCTTTTCACTTCATAAATAGCAAAACTATTTGTATGTCTCATTAATGCTCACAGGGGCTGTAGCTGTCTCAGGGAAGCTCTCCGACAAATGCATGTCTGAATTCAGAAAAAATAGACAACTCCAAAAAGGACCGACCAGCAAGATTCATGGGTGAATTTATCTAAAGCTCTATATTAAAAGGGGCACTGATTTTACACGAGGCCCAGTTTACTGATGAGGAGTACCACTCAGCCTGTGGCAACTTTTGTTGCTCTTTAGAGAGCTTTCTAAAATCTGAGACATCAATCATGTCAAGGGTTATTTCAGATTGGGATTGAGAAACGAAACCGAAAGACTTTAAAGCAAACCGTTTAAAGATGTTTGAAACCGATGAAATCGCATTATCAGAGCTAGGGTAGGTAATATCTTTCAACTTGTTTTAACCTGTGGTAACCTCGTAACCTGTGGTTACGTGCGTCAATGCAACATCCTTTCCTTTACATATTAACAGACAGCCCTCTGTACGTCAAGCAAATGTAAAATCTTACACAAATAACAGACAGGAGCGACTGGCCATTTAGTTCATTATAGTCAAACTGAGAAACACTGATGTGAGCTACATGGTGCCTGCTCTGTTTGAGGAATTTAAAACAGACATTCTTAAGTTGGTCATTATCAAAGTAGAGATTTTAAAAGCATTAATCAATTTTTTTTATATTAATAGTATTCAATTAAATTGCTCTGTGTTATGCGAAGTGTTCCTCATAGTGCTGATGCTCACTTTCAGTTTAACTGAGCTCTGTAGCCTATTTTGGCTCATTCTTTTGATTTTGAATGTTTGATGGGGGGGAGGGAAATCGATTCTTAGATGCATCGCGATCCTGAAAGATTATGTCTCCATTGCAGAAAAGTCAATGCAGTAATCTCCAATCAAATCTGCTGCCAACATGGCCACTATTGAGCTCCCATCACATTATGGGCGATACGCTATGGAGTGTATACTGTAGATCGTAGAGTATACCAAATTAAAACAATGTCAAACATTATACAGCTACAGAATCGATATTTTTGTTAAAGGTTGGTGGAGACCAAAACAGAACTAAAAAAAAGAATAAATGATGCACGTACATTCGTTAGCTGGCCAGAGTCAAAATGAATGTTAATATTACATATTCCACTGTACATCAGCTACATGTGTAAATAGGAAACTGTTTGCAAGCCATTACAATTTCATAAGGTGTAGTGTCTGCACATCTGTCACATTGTTTTAAAAAAAACTGAATAATGTAGTTTTAAGAATCCCGCTCACTTTGGGTCTCCAACAGACTGAAATTGTTCATATCTATTAACTACACATCTAACTACAATATCATGGCTACACACGCATTAACTGAATGGTAATTAGTAATTAGTGTGAACTCACAGAAAGGCTTAAGTAATAATCAAATTGGAGTAAATTCTAATCAGTAAAGTGAACATGAGCCAGAGTAAGAGGGGGCTATTCTGTTTTGAAAGTTTAAAGCTTGACAAGATAAACCTGAAAACACCTACAGTCTCAAGATAAACCAGTATCTCATCAGTCAGTTCAAATATTTTGCAAGTCATCACATTTAAGCTATTTTGTACGCAAAGTAACTCAAATGTAACAGTGGACTTCTATGTGATAATCAGACCCAATAGCTGGCAGCTCTGCCTCATTCTAACATTAAAAGTAGCTCAGCAAGCCTCTTAGAAACCTGCTTACTGCAGGCCGTGTGGGGAAATAAACTCTGCCAAAAAGGTACTGTACGTGTTTTTCCCCCTCAGTGAACTTCATAGGATTTGTGACAGATGATGAAGATAATTGTTCTGATGCCAAACAAAAGGTAGACTGGAGAATATCAAAAATGCAAAAAAAAGTCATCAGTGTGTTGTGTGAGATCATTGTGTTGTAACCTATTCTGTTCTACATCCAAGCATCTGAAAGAAAAACTAAATCAAAGCTCCATTTCATATAATTCTAAATTAACATTAGCATAGTTTAAAAGTTGGATAAGAAGCGAGAACTCACTTCCTACTGCAAAACACACTCCACACTGATTGCTTGGCATTTAACAATTATTGATATATGTTAATTAGGTTGTAATGATTTTATGAAACAAATTATTATTGCTAAAAGCTAAAAACAAATATCTGCAGCACTTTTTTTTTCCAGAGCCTCTGTGTGCTCTTGGGTTCAGTGCATTTCAGTGCAATATTCAAATCTATTTGTAGAAACTACAAACTTATTTTAGATCACATGAGATGGGTTATACATCACAGTGAAAATTGTGTCTGTATTTATATTTGTCAAAATAATGTTTTTAGTGTGGAAATGCAGAAAAATCTTTTCAACTCAATCTGTACTTACAGCTCACCACACAATGCTTTTGTTACCTTGGTGAACATAAACAGACAGGTTATTCACTGTTATGAATACAGACAAACAGTATCAGAGCATAGTAAAAGGAGATGGAATAGAGAGTTCTTTGCTTAATGGACCCCTGAAAACGTCAAGCCCCATCCTGTCTATTCTGTGAATGAAAGGTGAAACAGCAGTGGGGAGGAACTCACCTCGGAGGGCAGGGAGCAGCGAGCGGTCCTTCCTGTCGTCGCATTTGTTACACTCGCTGAAGTAGAGCAGCAAGAACACGTCCACCAGCACCCACACTAAAGAGGTGGTCAGCACCACCTTACAGTAGACAAACCGTCGCATCACCTCCCGGGATGCAGGCAGCTGAACAGGCAGGGTCACAGCGAGAGTGCTCAGGAGCGCTCGGTCTGCTGAAGGGGTGTTTGGACTCTGGAGACGGGGCGAGGAAACAGGAAGGAAACGCAGCAGGTTTGACCAAGAGGCATCATACTAGAGAGGAAAAAAAAAACAAAGTGAGAAGATGGAATTCTAAATCTAATCGCAATCATGAAAACGATTTTTGTCTTCCTGCTGTGACTGCAGATGAACATTAACTTAACGATGATCTAAAACAATTAACTTGTGAAAAAACATGATGTCAGCAAAATCTGTGAAGGAAAAGTATTTAAACCAGATCAATATTTGTCTATTGTAAAAGTGATTAGTAATCACCTTCTCCAGACTTCATTTTATGCATTTCATAGCTCTACACAACCAGAGATTACAGAGCAGTTTTCCAATTATGTATTTTCCTTTTTTATATTGGTAGAATGTCACATAACATAAAAGGTGGAATAAATTAGACAGACAGAGGTGCAACAAAATGAACAGACAACACAACTGTGATAGTTTGTTAAACAGAACAAAAGAGCAGTTATGATGAGTGTGCTAATGGGAAAACTACATA